CATCGAACAAAGACGGTCACCGCATCACGTCCCTTTCTGGTGCGCTTCTGCGGCCGTCTGGAACGCTCTTCCTACCCGATATTAGGAACCCACTGGAGGCTATGCACTTTTAAATCGAGGTTGAAAACGAATTTCGTTAGAACTGCTTATTGTGTTTAGTTTGTTGTCCTCCCACACCTCGGATGAGCACGGTTGGCTACGTATGGTGCGAACGAAGTTCAACATATATATAAAACATACTGCGCTATGAACGCGATGACCCCACTTTGATTCCCAGCCACGGTGAGCATCAACGGGAGAGCGATATCTGAACCTGTCATGGGTTCCAGACCCTCCCCCCCCCCCCCTTCACCAACCCACATTGGGCCAGCAGAGTGAAGTATGGTCATACAACTGCAATGGCCGACTGTGAGGAGGCCTTCGTTCAAGCAGGGTATGAAAAAGGTATCTCAATTATTGCTTGTTTATTTTAGACATTCAAAACACTCTATAACAAACTGCCTCCATGAGATGGCAGGGGAGAGGGGCCTTCATCCAGGGAGTGGACTGCAAGAGGCCTGTGGTGACGATGTTTTTCACACCTGCGGTTTTTATTTGTGTACCGTTTGGAATGCTGGAGCTGGGTGCACGAGTAGCCCTCGATGCACACACTCACAAGATCGTGGGCCTAAATCTCGGTTTGGCGGGGGTTCAACTCAGCCTATTATCACCATCCCACGCCAATAAAACGAGTACCACAACAATGTGAACATTTCCCCACGTGGTCGGGTTCGCCACTGGAGATTAACTCTTTCCCATTTCCGACGAGGTACGTGGCACGTCATCCGGTTTTTCTTCCGATTCGGAAGTTAAAGGCCATGCGGGAGGGGCGGGAGGGGCGTGCGTGCCACAGTTTGGCGCCAGCAATCATGGAGTGGCGGTAGTGTCGCGACAGTTCTCTGCAGTGAGTACAATGTCTTTAAAAGACAACGGCGCTATGCCCCTCTCTGAATAAAATTGATGCTGACCGCTTACGCGTTCCGACATTCAGGGTTGAACGGGACCCACCACGCTGCAACTTGCAGACGTCTCGCGACGGGAAAGGGCTTTGAGTAGATAGGTGCACTTTGACGTACTTTAGAATCGGCATGAATATAGCCATTGTAGTATCGCTGAGTCGAAGTAATTACTCTTGCCAATAATCTTGATATTTCATTTAGTCGAAGCACCTTGCTCGAGAAGTTCTTTAGTCTGTTACGAAGCTCTAGGAGTCTGGTTAAGATGCTGTCATTTTTAATTTTAGCTTTTAACATGTGCTTTTAAAAAAAAATTCAGACATTTAGGTCTGGATATTGGTTGTATGCAATTGGAAAAGGAAATGCTCGATTGATGTAATAAATTAAAATGTAAAAAGCCTAATTACACGAACCCGCGATCATAAACACGCAGAGCAAAACACAAATAAAAATACTGAAACCTAACATTTCCGGCTGCCAAAACAAAACATGTGTAAACGTGCATGAATAATGTGCATTTAATGGTGTATTTGAAGTTCGTCAATTTGTTGCATTTATATATTTCGTCGTAAATCTAAATTCGTTTGCATTTTGAAATGAACAACTTATCTAATCGAATTAATGCTTTGGATTTTTGTTGCAGACCATCAAACGTCACATTCCCAGTTACAGTTTTTGCATTTGAGCTCAGCTCAACAATGCCCGCCTGTAAAAAAAAAAAATGCTTGAAACGCAAACTGGCCTTGCGACTGTCGCAACATTCGCAAGGTCATGCGTGCCTCAAATGTGGGATTAAGCAATGCATGCGTGGACCGCGGAACACTGGAAGTGGTCACACAATGCCAGCAAACAAACAGCAAGGTCGAATATGGTTCGTGCGTACGGTCGTGCCGCACCGTCGCCTGCAACCGCAAGCGTTTTCCCCGGCATTGTAGAAGAACCAGGAAAGCGCGCGTACGAACACGCGTGGCTGGAAAGCGGAGCGCGCTCGCGCCTAGCAGTGGAAAAATACATTCCTACATTCGTTCGGCACACAAGCCCTACAAAAAAAGTTCACGTTTCCATCTGCCTTTTTGTACTTGGTCGCATTCTAAAAATTAACCGGGGGAGGTTGAACTAACAAAAATATTCAACGTGTGCGCGAGAACATTTTTTCACGTCTAAACATGCGCACCAAAGACGTATCGCCTTTCACAAGTTGGGGGAAACCCGATGAAGAAAATTCGAGTCGCAAGATGGGTGAAAAAAAGTGCGGCGTGTTTTTTTAAACTACCCCTGTCGTTGCGCAATAGAGATGTCTGTCAGTGATCTGGCAAGCGTTGATTTGGCAGGCCGGACTGTACCACTTATGCAGGAGGGAAGTCAATGCCAAGGTGAAGCTTAACAAGTGAGAATTATCAGCACACATTGTTAAGCATGAACTACAACTGACGCCATACGGAACGCGTTATCCAGAAATAAAAAAACACATGCCAACACATCCTAATGAGAGAACCTACAGTTGGCAAAAAAAAATGCTTCAATTAAACAAAACGAATAAAATAAAATGTGTCGACAATTAAAAGTCATCAAGGACCCAATTAAAGGGCAACGTTAAGCCATCTTGTCAAAAATGTGAAAACTTTTCGCGAAATCTCAAAATGCGTTGCTCTATCTTGCGATGTTTATACGAACACATCTAACGAGTTATAACACTTGATTGTATTGCAAGCTAATTCTGACTACTTTTTTTATTTCAACAATAGTCAGCGTTTCCGCACGCGCCATTAATAGCAGGCGCCTGGCAATTAAGGACAGCGTGCAGCTTGTGCGATTGTATGGAAGGATTTATCACGAGCCGGATAAAATAGAAAAAATAATAATACATACATACAGGCTTCCCTCGCTTCATGTGGTCATAGCAGTAGATGCATTCCAAAACATGGCACACAAAGCAAACCAGCACGATACAGCTGCCTGACGAATAGCGCGTACGGTACACACAAACAATGCTGCGGCCACGTCCGCCGGCATAGCCGCGCACGAGTGAATTCAAAACACACGAGCGAATTTTGGGTCGAAATAGGTCAGCCGCATATATACACGAAATCGCACAAAGCCGACCAAAGCACCCGTAAATATCATTCCCCTTGTATAGGCCACAAGGAGTTGTGGGACTGACTAATGAAGGGACTTTCATTCATTTAATTGATTCCTTAAATCCTTAAGCACTGACCCTTGGCTGCGTCGGGTCCTTATTCATCAAGAGCCAAGGGAGGGACGTCAAGGCAGCCGTGCCACTGTGACGCTTGCTCTCCGGCTGTCACTTCTAATGCGGCATGTTTACCAGCGATGGAAGACTCCAGGCCTCACCGGCCAGGCGCGGCTCATCCGTCCGTGTCAACCGATCAATGGCACGCGCGCGTCGCGCTTTGTCACCCAATTTACACGCACACGGAGATGATCGGTGGACGACGGAAGACGGAGTGCGTGTCGCTCGCAAAGCGCCGAGTCGTACATCACTGATATCATCATCAGCGTGATCGTCCGTTGAGGAGCGAGGTGTCGCCTCGTGACGGATATGAGCCACAAGAGCTCAGCGCAAAGACCTCTAACCCCCCGCAAGCAACAAGTCGTAATTCAAAATGCTTTATTGCGCTCCGTCCCAGTCACCATCGGCCATTGTCTATGCACTGCTGGATGAAGGCTTCTCCCCCCCCCCCCCCCCCCCCCCCCGTAAGTACATTTGTAAAATGTGCTACTCCTGTAACCTAGGTTATCGCCAGTGCCGTCGCCACCCCTGTAGGTCCAGTGTCGTGATGGATTTTTGGGAAATAATTCAGGAGCAAATAAAAAACTAATCATTTGTTTTACCATGTGAAAAATTACATGGCAGTTTAGTTCATCTACTTATATGGCTTGCGGGCCAATGTTTTCCAGATGCTTTTTTTTTTAGCAAGATAATTCTGGACTTGTTTCAACTTCCGCGTTTCATCAGCAGTGCGTGGCCTCTGGAACGATTGCCGGGTTGTTCGTGGAATTCACACTGCACAAAATCACGCAAACCCAGTGAATGGCGTAACAGCTGAACCGCCAGGCTCTTTAGTCACCTAACCATGAAGACAAAAACAAAACAGCGCCCTGGCGTCGGGCTCGAGCTAGATGAGGAGGGTTGTGTGCCGTTGGCTAATTATTTTCATACAGAAAGGTTTACAGAACACATTACATTGCATTGGGCCCGATGCATTCACACTCCACAACACAGAGGCATGGTTAGCACGCACAATAATAGCAACACGTACATTCAAATCCTGGAAAAACACATGGTAAACGAAGCACACATCAGGCAGGGAGACACTCAAAACTCGACAGGCACCTGCAATTGCACACCGCACAGAAGCACGCACATTCACGCAAAAATTTGATCGCACCGCGAGAAAAGAACACCACGTTCAGATCCGCATTAAGGTAATGATTTCGCATTTCAAAGTTGCACACAGGCACACAACAAACATTCGCGGACGCTACACAACAACTACAGGAGCACAAGCAGCGCATTCCCGAACCATGCAGACGTCTCGCTGAAATGCGCATGCTGCACACACGCACGCTCTACGCACGCAAGTGCCGCCGCCGTTAGAACGAAACGTGCCGGTAAAGATAAGGAACGGTCCGCATTTCAGTAGAGTCGCATGCAATTCAGTCGAGAGCGTACGTGATGTGCATGGCAGCAAGCGGCGCGAGGAGCGAATGTTATGCGGGGGTTGGTCGGGGGGGGGGGGGGGGCTCATGAGCAAAAAATCACGTTCGTGTTAGTTTCTTTTTTTTTTTACATGAGATTAGTGCACAGAGTTAGGGGTGGCATGGGGATGGGGGGCGGTAGCAGGAGCGTACGAATTACGCTCCCCAAACGGCACTGCGCGGCGATGAGCAGAGGAGACAGGAAGCATCGGTGTGTGGGGGGGGGGGAAGGAAGAAATGGTGCTGGAGAGAGTCAGAGCAAAGACATCGCCGGCTGTGACTTACGCCGAACCCCTTAGAGCTTTTGCCTGGCGCTGGCTGCGTGCCCGAGAATGGGTCGGTCCGGCCGCACCCTTCCTCCTCAAACCCCCCTCTAGAGTGAAATGGATCAGTCCCACCACCGAAAGGCTGGAAAGGGAGCGAGGCGTCTGATGCCTCGGCTCGCTTAGTGGGCGTGGACGTCCCTGCAAGACAAGTCCAGCGCACGCACGCGACAGGTCGTGTAGAGCCAGTGGTCCGGGAGGGGGGTGGGGTAGGGGTGGGTGGGTGGGTGGGGGGCGAAACAAAACCTCCAACAACACCTGGCAACTCCAACGATTGCTAGTACCGTCCGCATTTGTCGCTGGCTTTGTCAAAGAGAGGACATGCGATTTGGGTGAAAACCAACCCTGGCTGGGATTTCCGTTTGCTTTTCCTGTCGCTCGCCGCCGCCGTCGTCGCCACGGCGATGCGTTGGTTGCGCTGCGCCTCGCCTGCGGTAATGTCTCGTCGCTACTATCTTACCACTGATAAAAAAACAAACAACAACTTAATAACGTGCACGCGCATTGGCACACAGATGCCTTCGTCCACGTGTTCCAGATTTGCTGTCAGGCGCTCACGAGTCGAGCCAAGTGTCCACAGAGGACTCCTGAAACCCTCTCGTGGCTAGCAGACCTTGACATCGAGGCTGAGCTGAACATATTTGCCATATGCAGGAATAGTGAAGAACAGCTGGTGAACGCGCGGACGTCTCTTGCGCGGCACTCCGATGCGTTTTCAGATCGCGCCGCGTGTCGTTCAGCGCGCCGGAAGCTTCTTTCGATTCGTGTCCTGAAAAAGCTCCCAGGAAGTGTAGCGAAACATTGGACATCGTGCCGGACAACAGGCGGCACGCGAACCGAAAACGCAAAAAATCTAAGCCGGGGTTCTCGCTTTAATTAATTCACTGAATGGCACCTGTTTATAGAACTGTGCAGAAAGCCAGAATAGCTGGGATAGAAAGAGAAACCAATTGGTGGTGTTGAGCCTCGACAATGCGTGCCTTGACTCTGGTCAATGCTAATTGCATCGAATTTAGCTTCAATGTCTGTGAGGCTAAGCGTCCAGGTAAGCTGCGTGAGTGAGTTATTAAACCGCATGACAAGACCAACAAGAGCCATTAAATGTGTTTTTTTGTTCAGTTTCACCCAAATAGCACTCGCATTTAGCCCACGCACAAAGGCACAGCGGTTAAACATATGAGCACACCCAGATTCAAGCGCTACATTCATGCCGAACGAACACGAGTCACCGCGTTTAAAACACACATCGCCGCACCTGCCAGATGGAACCAATGGCAAGGGCATTTTTGGGGGCATTCGCAGTGCAAAAATTGTGAAAGGGCCCAATAGGACCATCGGTCTCCGATCTCAAAACAGCCTCAGCCGACAAGAACATTTGATGGATAACTTCCTCCCTTTGATCGAGACTGCAAAGCGCGCGATCGTGCGCACCCGTGTGTGCGCGCACTTACATAAGCGCTCGTAAATTCCACACCCACCTGCCTCACGAACAACGCTGCTGCTGCTGCCGCGGCTGCTGCGGCGGTATAACGCGCCAAACTTATTGAGTTTCACATCAAAACACGGGCAGGGAAACAATGCGAGCGTGCTGTGCGTGACCCCCGTCAACTTTTGTAAATCTTCTACCTTTCCGTTTTGTGTTGAGCAATTAACAGAAACAGTGGGCGCCGTTGCGCGTGGCTCTGAATCGCAGTGTCACATTTACGGTTAGAATGACGTTACATTGTGTGAAATCAAACAGACGCAGAGTTTTTTACAGATATATAGAGGCAGCTTTGTTAAATTCCATCACAAATAAATATATATTTTTTTTATTAACCCACACAAATTTCTTCGACTGGTCTATCAAGAGTGGTTGACGATGTGAAAAAGCTTAGGCCATGTAGGGAGATGCCCATGCATCTAAGGTGCAGCATAATCAAGAGCGGTCTTCTTATTTATAAGTTATTCCATTAATAAGTGGCTGCATTGGATTTGCAGTTAGTTACGCGATACCACAGTGACGGTGACATGATAGCCAATCACACAATGATGCACTGGTATGCTCAAACATGAAAATAACCAATCAGTGGTACATGATTATTAAATGGCCATGACCACTGCCTCCCTCCCCCCTCTAAAACGTTTAAATGCCACAAAGCTGAAGATATAATAATAATTGGTTATATTCAACAACAAGGGTCCCCTCTTCTTTTAAATGCTGATGAATGTTCCTTGGCAAAATAAGAATGTACCAGTGTCTCCGTTATCACGAATGAGGCACATTGCCCTGGTGATGTCTTTCAGGCAGTTTCATAAAGACCTGAAATCTGGAGGTGACTCTGAGGTGAGAGTGCTGTGGTGACACCAGCCCTGTGCTGAAAATATTTATTGTTTCGTACGGCTACTGATGTAGACGCAGAGCAACAACTACAATTTCACATTCAGGTGGTCAAGCCAAATAACCAAGTCAGCGGCAGCGGAGTGCATCGCTGCGATGTCTCCTTCGTATTTGTGGATCAGGGAATTGCGTCGTTACATGTTGTACGGTCGGGTTCTGGATGGCCAGTCGCACACTGGAGAGTTTTACATTTTCTATTTGTACATCAGGTATCCGCATCTGCTTTGGTTTGTGCAGTGAATGCGGTTTAGGGTGGACCGTGAGCTTCGTGGAAGATCAAACCCAGGGATCCTCTGTGTTGGGTCTTTCACAAGGTGGTAAAAATCAGGTTCTGCACTAGGAATAACTGGTGTCGCTAAAATTTGGTTTTGTACTTGATTTGGCTACATTTCCAGCGCTGTCAATAAAAATATATGTGATCGGTTTGATTGTCAAGTAACAATCTTCGCAGCAGTGGAAAGTGTTTTATTATATTATGTTCTATTTTTATTATTTTTATTATTTCCCTTCTACGTGACTTACCAAAAGAACCAAGAATATGAATCCCTGCAGTCACGAAAGCTTTAAATCGAAAAATGTTCCCCCACTGTGGAGAAGGTTACAAGGCCTCTTTGAAGGAGCTTTTGGACTCCCTGTGATACGTCAGCCAGGACACACCAACTACTGCACATGTGAGGGTACTGTAAATTAGAGGCCCACAATTTAGCCACTCTTGATAGTGTGTTGAAGGGAGAATTGCTCTCGGGCAAAGTCAGACATTACAAAGGTGCCTATCTCTGCTTATCTTTGACGCCAACAGAATTGATGTGAGGGCAGCGCATGGCTTTTCTGCAGAAGAATTACGTGCGGCTAGATGAAGGAGGTTCTCTTCCAACAGGCAGGTTGATCACGTTAAGCAAAAAGGGGGCTCATCCAAAAAAGCTAGCAGCAAAAAATGGCCGTGCCTCTCCAACAGGCACACACAAAAGCACAGGTGAAATTTTTAAAGCAGACCTTCGAGTCATTTAAAATTCCTCTTCTTCTGAACGACCTGCAAATGTGTGTCGGCACAAACACGCGCCACCTCACGAGAGGATCTACTAAAAAGCCGCCGTACAATTACATTGTTACATTTCGTTTGTTCAGAGCATTGTTCCTTTTGCCGCCCTTGAGTGCAGAGCACCACTCGTGCACTGAAGCGACGCTTTTAATGTTTCTGCGAGGCCACGGAAAGCGAGGCTGCGAGGTGACACGCGGCTACACGCTCAGAGTTAAGAAAAAAAGTCCATCGGCCGGGGCACTTTAAAGCAACGCGTTCACCGTTGCGGGAGGCCGAGAAGAGTGGGAATCTTAATGGGCCTTTGGTGGAATAATGCGTTTTAAATTAGAGCCATAATTGCGGCAAGCTTTCACCTTATTAGGCTTAGCGGGCAAGCAGCCTCGTGCAGGAAGAGCAGCGGTGTATGAGCATACTCGCACGCTTCAAGGAAAACTGTCAATTACCCGCAATTTTAAAAGCCCCGGCAATCTGGACACACGCTTGCGTCTACTTACGTGAGCATTTACGGACCGCGAAAGGAAAATATTTACAGGGTTCACGAAAGTTGTATTAGGATGGTAGATGTGGCATGCCGCACGGGCTCGGGAAGGGAGGACAAAAGCACATATGTGGTGTGCGCTGGCTCAATAAAACCGCACGAGACGACTGCGGATTCGCGCAGATGTTAGGATGTGCTGGCTCGCTTTCAGGGCCGCAGTAATTAACGTGAAAGTGGCATGATTCCATGCAAAAATGCTAATTTGAGGCGTAAATAGTGTTAACTGTGTGGCGCTCGGGGAATTGTTCATAGCTGAAAATAAAAAAAAGACCTCGTTTTTTTTTTCATTGTGAACATTGCGGCCCCCTTCGGGAAATATCAACTTTCTGGTGCACGGCTAAAGTCGGCGGTGGCTTTGAGAGACGTGAGAATGAACGCTAAAACGGACGTGAAATCTCACAAAACACAGCGATGAACCACTGCACACTGACTCATCTCAGCGGAGCCCGCTTTGCAGGAAAGACGCTCAAGAACTCAAACGGACGATGCCACTGATCAAGATCGAGAACGAGCCTGCGGATAAAAGCAATTCGTGATGCGAAGATGCGTAATTGAAGCCTGTAAAAAGTGGTACGCGGTTTTGCACGGAGCAACCGTGGAAGAATGATAATAATCCACGGAGCCAATCCGGGCTCCCACGTGTGCAGATATAAACGCGCGTCATTTTTCACTGCCGTGTACGAACACCAATTGAACCGTCGTATAAAATAAACCGTACAGTGTGCGTAGCTCATCAGAGACGACGTTTGTAAAATAGTTAAAAGGAAAATCAAATGCCAAACCACCTGCCGTCAATAAATCAACTGGGCATTTCCTGTCATTTAAACTATTCCACTTGAGCGACTTCTGCTTTTGAAAACTTATGAATTTAAATTTCAAAAATTACTTGATACTAAATTTAAAATGTAATCATCTTCTCTCTTGCAAGCCGAGGTTTTAATCGCGCACGCTACTTTTATTTCATGCCCCCATGCATTTTGAAAACGTGTCATCACTTTATAATGATGTTTACATTCGCTTTCAGGCTTTCTTTATTTGTGGCGTTTACTCTGTTAATTTGTGCAAATTATAACTTTGAAAAAAAAAAGAAGTGACACTCAAATTAAAACATCGAACACGCACGGCAAGACCCATGGTTGCGGTAATTAAAATGTGATGAAAATAAATTTACTCGATACGCACAAAAAAAACTAACATTTAAATCACCCAAAAGTTATTTTTTTCACACGAATAAAAAGACAAGCGCTTTTTTATTTACAATTCAACCACCGCACTATTTCAGCAATGCTCCGAGGGCACTTAGCACCCTTTCACCTGATGATTGGGGATGCGCACGTAGCATCGTGAGTGCGAGTGGCGCCGTACGCTCCACACCTCACGATAAAACGGCACGGGGGGGGGGTGTGGGTGACTAAACGGAGTAATTTAGTGGAGTTCTTTTTTTCCCACCGATGCTGAACAAATACCTTTATAAACATTTGTGAATGCCTCTATGAACGAAAAGCACACGCGGGCGTGCACACGTCGGCACAGTTGGGTACATTCACTCGCTTGTAAGGCGGCTCGTTAATATCAAATGCCGTTCAATCATCATGGTCATCGTCATCATCGACTCCCTCGCTCACAAACTGCAGTCCCTCCTTGGCACGACACGCTCCGACTTGGTGTAGAGAAGATGGATTCTATCTTAACGCTCCGACTTATCACGTCTGCCAATCAGGCACGCAAGGGCCGTGAGAAGGCAACCGCTTGCTGCGGTAGCTGCACCAGACTGAAGAGCCAATTTTTCACCGAATGTCGTCTCCGCTGATCATTAACGAGCGCATCACGGGGCAAATTTAATTCCGCGCCGAGGTGCCGGGAGTGAGCCGTAACCCAAGTGCTCGTTTCAGGTGCAACGCTCATTATACAATTTTCAAGCCCAGAGAGACTATCAAGTGATGGGTTATGCTGGACTGTAGCGGGCGAGCGAGGCTTTGAAGCCATCCTTGCCGGCTGCCGCGGCACGCGCGAACCTTTCGATGGAGCACCCGCGAGTTTCTCAGGCGCACGCGCGTAACCGGACGTAGTCAAGCACCACTACCGCGTAAGGGTTTTCCTCGGTTGCGTTTTGCAGCTCTGACGTGGTGCCTTCTGGTCGTGCCACGTGCTGCTTCGGCATGATTTCCGGGCACCGCACCAAAAACAAACAGCGCACGGCACGACACGAGGTGGCCCTTCGGGCGGCCGTTCCGTGAAAGGGGGGCGGGGCGTTACCGTCCAGCTGCTTTGTGGCGTCGGTAGAGTCCACCGCACGCCGTTACGTCCAGCGCCACGGGGGGTGGGGGGGGGGGGGCGGGTTGGGGGTTGGCGGGCGACTCACCGGAGGAGGAGGGGGGTTTGGGCCGTGGTGGTGCGCTCCTCTTGGGCGGCAGGTTTGGCACGGACTCGCGAGAGCGGAACGGGTCGTCGCCGCCACCGAAAGCGCCGCTGCCAAACGGGTCGCCCGCAGCCGCCCCACCAGACGAGTCGGAGAAGGGGTCCGTGCTGCCGGGCTGCAACGCACGCAGCAGGAGCGGCTCATCAATATTACGACACGGTCATCGTCATCGCCATCACCGTGTACCATCTTTCATCACCATGTGTGTCTTGTCGTAACCGTCATCACCATCCACCATCATTGCCATCGTCTAGCTGATCATGATGATCATCACCATTATCATCACAATGATGATCTTCACCATCGTGTGTCTTATACCATCATGTGTGATAGCATTAATACCATCATCATTGTTATCATCATCAGCACAGCCATCATCACCAACATGTGCTAAATACATAATTATCATCATAATCAGTTCTCCATAATCAAAATAATCAAAAAATCTATAACATAACGATGATGATTATCATAATCTGAATACACATCAGAGTGGAACGGTAGTCCAGTGAGCTGCACTCTGAAACCAGTGACCTGAGATTTAAAATCTAGGCCACGGCTAACATCAGTGGCGAGTAAAATCTGAACCAGTCTTGGACATCCCCTTCACCTACAATCACCAAACCTCACGAGCCAGTGTGGTGAAGTATGGTCAATTAACTCCCAAAACCAAAAAGCAAGCAGACGCCTTCTTACAAAAGTGGATTGACAAAAACAAGCTTTAGGTTGTAATATTACAATGGTCATTTACATGACCATGATTAACACCATACCTACCATAATCACCCAGCAATGTCTATCCTTAACGTTCGTGACGTCAATCCACATCGACCAGCCCCCCTCATTAATATTCATGAGCAGGTGACGTCCTGCAAATGGACACCCCCCCCCCCACTCATAATAATTAGCGGCTGACGTCACTCTACATGGGGGGCCGAGGCACCTCCTCCCCCCTCCTGGGCGTCAACTCACAACCCTCACAACAAAGGCAGAACCCTCCCGTCACGTGATCTCCGTTAACGCTTTTGAGACATCAAAGTAAAAAGGACGTCATCATGAACAAGGGATTATAAATCACGACGTTTCTGGAGCAACACAAGCGTCCAGAATCAGGTGGGGAAGACGGACGCTTGTGTGTGCGCCCGAAACGTCATGATTTATTTGATTTTCTACCTACGTGATGACTTTACCGAAAGAACCAAAGAGTATGTGTTCCTGCAGTCATGAAAGCTTCAAATCAAGATTAAGGGATTATAACCTTGAAATGAAAAAGGTCTGTGTCACCGCGCCCTTACAAATTGCACGCGCATTAATGCAATGAATATGATGTCGTGGCCTGCTTTTCGCTTGCAAGTTTCAGATTTACTGCAATACACCCGTCCTTGGATGAACAAAAGGCTAGTAAGGTTAAATTAACTTAGGAAAAGCTCATAGCAGATTCAGATACCAAATGCCAATAATGTGCATGTGCAAAGATTGAACTCAACGTCGTCAGAATCACTGCAGACACAATAAGATAATTGTCAAGCCAGAATTACCCAACTCATTATCTTCATTATAGCCTTAACAGACTTTTGGGGCAAGTTCTGTTTGCTAGAAGCACCTATGAAGGCCGGCACGCCACACGAGGGGGTGGGTGGCCAGCACCACGCCCGGCCGCCTTTGTCTCCCTAGTGGCGATGTTTTACGCACCGCACCAGGTACTCAATTTGAGGCTGAGTCGACTGAGGGGAGGCCTAGGACCGGTTCAGATAATCGTCACTGGTGTTGGTCATGAGCAGGAATCGAACTCGGGTCACCGGATTCGTAGTGCAGCGCGCTAACCATTGCACTACCGCCTGACGTCATTACCATTATACCACCATCACACTCATGTTCAACATCATCAGTGTAGTGAATGCAGTCTCTATAATGGGAGTCCCATTCAACATCCATACCATTGTCAACATCAAAGTCCAACAGTTGCCCTTACTAAAAACATTCCAAAGCCTGTTTGCTGAGGGAATAAATTCGTTTTATATATAAAATATATACGTATCAAAAGCACCTTCTCACCAGCACCAGGGAGTATTCTACTTTCTGCCTTTTCCTCTCTGCTGATTGGCGTGACCTTAAGGGTGCTGAAAGCCGGCGCTTTGGGTATACGACCAGCCCAGCGGAGACAGGTGGCTCTACGATGTGGTAATTGGTATGATCTATATTTCACAGCTGATGTTTGATACATGGTTCTGCCATTTCAACTTAAGAATCCCAGAGCTAAAGGACATTTGAAAGCATCCTCTTTTCATTGGGGCGCCACGGTGGCGAGATGGAAACTGGTATACAGGAGGATGTGGGTTCAATCCCGAGCCAGACGCCTGCTGTATATTTGGAGCTTGCATGTCTCTCTCCCTGAGGTCTCGTGGATTTTGCTCCAGGTCCTCCAGTTTTCACTCCACATTTAGAAATAGTTTATTATTAAATTCATTATCTTGTCAAAAGCATCACCGAGTCTCAAGGACTACATTTTTCAGGAAGATCCCACATTGAGACATGTGACCAAATCAAATTGCTAGATTTTGTTTTACTTAGTTGTGGGTGTTGGTGAAAGTGGAGTGCCTGGAGAAAAACTGTGTATATGGAGCGACAACACTCAAGTGCTCAACGCATAGCCTGATATCTATATCAGAAACGGTATTGGCTACACATTCACCTCCTATATTCACCTGCTGCTTCATATAGCCACGAAAACTTTCTTAAAAGATAAGATAGGCTTCCTGTACACACCTACCACAGAGACATCACCATTGTCCCACTAAATGGATATGATAGGCTGAACGTACCCACCACCATATTCTCCGGACTGTAAGATGCCCTCGTCATGTAAGTTACACCCAAAACTTCGGAGTAATAAAAAAAAACAATTCTGAAATAATCAACCTCCCTGGAAAGCGGAAAACACAAGGTTGCAGTAAAGGATGAAGCTACAGAATTTCGTGACGCTGGTAAAAGTGTCTTGCAATACAGACAATGCGGTAACGTTCAAAGTGGCTGCGTGTTGGTGTCAATTCAAATCAGGCAAAACATGTATGGGATAAGCGGCCACTGTGGCCATGAAGGCCATAACACTGGACTTAAAGACGGTACTCCTTTTTTTTTAACCCAGCGTGCATCTAATAATCACGAGGACATAGTCAATGCATTGCATTGCCCATGCACTCACTGAAGGTAAAAACAAGCCGGTGAATGGAGAAGACTAAAATAGCGGAGGTTCTAAAATGCAGGGATATTTAACACCCCATGAACACCAAATTACTTCCCATGCTGGTTAAAATAACACTTGGAGAAAGAAAAAAACTCGCAAAAAACTTTTGCCGAACGTCAAAAAATATTGTTCAAAGTTACACTAAAAAAAAGGAAAATTGGGTGTAAAGTTTGTAACATCTTTGTGATTAAACTAAAGAAAATTTTAGCACCCTTCTGCAATTGTTTTCTTTCACAAATGTGTGTTATAATACAATTACAAAAAAAACCACTAAACTTTTACACTTAAAACATTCTAGAGTGCGAATCAACAGCCTTCCGCTCTCAAACTGTGAAGTTACCAAGTTGCATGGTTCTTTGCATAATGCATGTTCATGTATTCAAACAAAATCACACTCTTCCCTCCAGCAATGTAGATGTTTAACATCCATTTTTACTACCGTTCTTCCCCACAATCTTCCAAAAAGTCCTATTAAATCTACCAAAAATTATATTAAATTCTATAGGTTCCCCTAAGAACTTGGCAGGTTGGAATATTAATAACCTTGAAAAAAAAAGATATTATCATACCGAAATATTAAATTAAAAGCCGGACAGCCCCAAGTCGAGTTCCGATGCTAGGTTAGAAGTTACCGTAGAGTTGTTTAAAGGAGCAGTGTTTACAATATTCAATGACAAACTGAATTCACAACAACAACAACAAAAAACTCTACACTTCTTCGTTAATAACACCGTGGCCTTAAACTGGAAAAATATAAAACAGGCGACACTCGGCACAAGCGCCATTCATAGCACCTCGACAGAGACGCATCACAGGGAGTGCAAGAGTTGGATGCCAAAGTTTACATTGTGGGGCCTAATAAGAATTACATTTTTAAAAAAATGTGTCCTGATGATAACCAAGTAATTTTTTTTTTTAAACTGGTCGTTAAGTTATTTGGTCATTAAGCAAGTATAGGAAATACACGTTAAGGCTCAATTAGTTCCGATAGCATCAAAAGTTACCCTTTTTCACCCAAAAAACGTACTTTATAATATTTAGAAACAATTGATATGAACACATAAAGATACTAACAACATTATAAACACATAATTTTTAAAGCCTGGTTCATCAATGCATTAAGTAATATTTACTGTACCTACAACAGCCCTTCGTTAACAGGGTAATGGTCGGTAAGTGAACTCATTGGGCTCTATGGAGGCTACGACACTACTATACACTACACTATACACTACACTATACACTACACTACACACTACACTACTATACACTACACTACTATACACTACACTACTATACACTACACTATACACTACACTACTATACACTACACTACACACTAGACTACTATACACTACTATACACTACACTACACACTAGACTACTATACACTACTATACACTACACTATACACGACACATTGGGCTCTATGGAAGCCCGTCGTTAAGCAATTAGTCGTTAACAGGGGTGGTCGTTAAAAGGGTTCTACTCTACTATACATTACACTACTATACACTACACAATACACGACACTACTATACACTGCACTATACACTACACATTGGGCTCTACGGAGAACCAACGTTAAGGGATTAGTCGTTAAAAGGGGTGGTCGTTAAGAGGGGTTCTCCTGTATTTTAATCCAGCTGTGAATGGATTCCGACCTACGTTAGCGATGAGGTGATCAAATGGTGTCACGCTGGTGCAGTGGTTAGCGCACAGCGATTTAAACCCAGCGAGCCGAGTGTGACTGTCAAACATCGCGAAATGTTTTACTGTCATTCAGACGCAAGAGAATGTACACAAGATTAAGAACACACAACCGCGTGAGAAAATGTCAGATTTGTGAACATCTACAGTGAATGGCCGGTTACACCGCAACACAGAAATGATGCACTGGGCGAGGACGGGTTGTCAGTCACCGCGGTAATGCGACGGTCGGACATATGACATTGCCCCGTATGGGAATTTACAATTGTTACTGACGGTATCGTTATCGTCGTCATCGTAACGTTTGTTCTGGATGTCGCAATGTCGTGGTGATTTTACTCGAGATGAATTCCCGAAGTCGGCGAAGCCCTGGCTGTCAAACGTGCTGCTCCCAAACGGATCCAGTGATGAGAACGGGTCAGCACTGCCCGCTGCACACACACGAGCAAAGACAAAGACAAATATGCCCCATACAGACTTCAACAAACTTGAGGCAAGTGCTGTTAGCCAGCGCCTATGAACGCCGGCACGGCACACGAGGGGGTGGGGTGGGCCAGCACCACGTGCGACCACCTTTGTCTCCCCAGTTGTGATGTTTACACAACGTAGCAGGTACTCATTGAAGGCCGAGTCAACCTTGAGGAGGCCAATGACCATTTCAGATAATCGTCACTGGCGTTGGCCATGTGCGGGGCTCGAACCACTGGACTACCACTCCCCACGTGTATAGAGATACAGTATTTATATATGTGTACCCGCACGCACATACACACGGAGTAAATTATATTTTTGTTTAAAACGTAGGCTTTCGCGACCAATATTATCCAAAAGAGGTATTTTTGTGGGTTAGATCGCGTAAATATAAATATGTTGTTAAACCAGCCCCCACCCGACACAGCCAATTAGTAAGGTTTGTCACGTAAACAAAACATGCCAATTAGTTACTAGTTCAGCACACCGGTGTGTTGGAGAGTAAACCCACAACATTTACAATTCGAGTACGCCGCTTCGCCCGTAATTTAAATCACGTGTTTTTTTTGCATTTCTACAGCTGTTAAACGATTTCAATCAAACACTGTCAAATATGCCTTGAGCTCCCACATACAGGCAGGTACTGGTTCATTGCTCACGTACAGTGCTTTTTCATATTGTACTTTATATTTCTGTGCTCACTGTAGGGGCCAAAATAATGAACTCATCATTATTGCTAATGGTTATGCCTCGAGCGTTTTTTTTTTCTAACAGCAAAAATAAAATACGTACTTACATTTTTTTGTCTCCTTACGCGACTGACATGCTTTCGCGATTTTTTTATCACGCGAATGAGAATCGGATTCATTATTAAAAGGGCGACGGACGCGTGGGTGCGTGCGTGCGTGTGAGCATGCACACGCGTGCTGTATGGAACAACCCACACAGCCAAGCGACCATCAACAACGGTTTGCCATGGATCAGTTCACTGCAGGACGAAGGCTTCCCACCCCACATACTGCAGATATATCTCACGATCCCGCGAATAATTATCTAATATATAATTTATACTCATCGAGCGCCTTCACTCAAGGCGCGTGACGTAATAGTTTGCAGGGACGTGCTAAGAGGATTGAGGAATTAGTGACGATAATTAAGGATCACAACATGGTAGTGGGGAGGGACGGGAATAAGTGGAGGGACGAGGGGAGGGAATATGAAGAGAATGGCTAAGAGGAGAGGTGAGGATTTAAGACAGGAATGGAAGGTTAAGGAGGTGGACTGCTCAATGGACAAGAGCAGTGTTGAGTCTGTGGGCAGTATTGAGTCTATGGTGCAGTGTTGAGTCTATGGGCAGTATTGAGTCTATGGTGCAGTGTTGAGCCTGTGGGCAGTGTTTGAGTCTATGGTGCAGTGTTGAGTCTATGGGCAGTGTTGAGTCTATGGTGCAGTGTTGAGTCTATGGGCAGTGTTGAGTCTATGGGCAGTGTTGAGTCTATGGGCAGTGTTGAGTCTGTGGGCAGTATTGAGTCTATGGTGCAGTGTTGAGTCTATGGGCAGTGTTGAGTCTATGGTGCAGTGTTGAGTCTGTGGGCAGTATTGAGTCTATGGTGCAGTGTTGAGTCTATGAGCAGTGTTGAGTCTATGGGCAGTGTTGAGTCTATGGGCAGTGTTGAGTCTGTGGGCAGTATTGAGTCTATGGTGCAGTGTTGAGTCTATGGGCAGTGTTGAGCCTGTGGGCAGTGTTTGAGTCTATGGTGCAGTGTTAAGTCTATGGTGCAGTGTTGAGTATATGGGCAGTGTTGAGTCTATGGGCAGTGTTGAGTCTATGGGCAGTGTTGAGTCGATGGGCAGTGTTGAGTCTATGGTGCAGTGTTTAGTGTATGGGCAGTATTGAGTCTATGGGCAGTGTTGAGTCTATGGGCAGTGTTGAGTCTGTGGGCAGTGTTGAGTCTGAGGGCAGCGTTGAGCTTATGGTGCAGTATTGAGTGTATGGGCAGTGTTGAGTGTATGGGCAGTGTTGAATCGATGGTGCAGTGTTGGTTCTATGGGCAGTGTTGAGTCTATGGTGCAGTGCTGCTTGATAGACAGGGGAAGTTGATTCCAGTGAAGGGGAGCAAAGAGGGAGAAGAACCGAAAACGGGATTGGGCACAGGGAGGGGAGACAGAGAGAGAGACGATTGGACACTAAGAGGATGAGAGAGGACATGGAAGGAGATGAGAGACGCGAGATGGAGATTCAAAGACTCGCCTCAGGGTTAGAATCCACCCTGCCAGCGCCGACACACCGGCCAATATCATCGCGACATTTTCCTGGTGGACGTCATCATCTCTAATGCGTTGCATTCCATCGCTATTCGTTACCATCGGACATCATCCCTTCTGGCCGTGACATGTCCTGCCCAAGCCCACTTGTTTTTATGAACGGTTTGAATTATGGCATTAATCTTCGTATGTTCTCTCATCCATTATGCTCCTCCTTTCTGTTTCTCAGTTTTTGTTTCATATTTCGTCAACGACCTTGGTGCTTCTGAACTATCCATCGTAGCAGGTCAAACAGAACGCACTGACTCTTTGTCTTTTGGAAAATTGCTGTTACTTTTCCTTATCAGGTTCAGTTGTCTAAAAGAACTCTGGCCCGCTCTCATTCGAGGTTAAACCTGTGCCACACGAACCATAGTAAATGTCATACATACTCACACAAGCGCACACTTGTCGCCCATTTACACATTGAATCGAAGCAGAAATGATACGGAAAGCTACACAAACAATACCGCCAACGGGGGTCTAATTCACTGAATGCAGCACCACAGTTCAGAGATACACCTGTGGTTCTGTGTCATGTGACCATTCGACCTTTAACCCAATGCAAAGTAGCTACAAGGTAGCTAAGATTTGCTCGGCAATTTCCGCACAGCATTGCCGACCCTCGACCTAATAACCGGAACCAATAGGCCGTGCCCACAATCGTGTGTTGACGGCACGTTGTGAAAGGCGACCACGGTTTTTGCGCTCGCAACAATCAATCAAAGGTCGCTTTTTAAGGCCTCCCCCTTCTCGGCAAAGCCCTTGACAAAGCTCGGTGAGAACCACCCCCGACCGATTGGAGCGTTGAAGCAAGGGCCCCGTAAATTCACCGGGACATTTGGAACATATTCTCGAGACGATGTTTGCAAGAGACGCGGGGGGCGGGGGGGAGTTGGGTGCGCGGGGTTCTAAGGGCTGCAGCTCGGGACCTATGATTTTGAGTGCTCCTGAGAAATGTAATTTTTTAATGGTTGAAACTTAATCTTGTAGCACTATGATCAATCCTATATATGATTTGGTAATTAATGCCACATCATCACTATGTGTCGTCCTAACAGTCATGTACCAAAATTAAAATGTATATATTTTTTAAAATAAAATTTTCACGTTGATTAGTTTTTACAATTTTCATACGAAATTTTTTTTGGTTAAACACTAGAAATGAAATAACCAAGGTAAATTACAACGGAGCGTGCTACATCGGGTATGGGTGGTAGTCAACCGTCAAGGGAAGGAGCTAAATATCCAAGGGGGGGTCGGGGGGGGAGCACAAAACTTTGACAGCCTTGGGCCCCCCCCCCATCAAACTTAATGTGGGCCTGGTTATGTGCTCCAGACTCGGGGCAGTCACACGGACAAATTGTCTAATATATATAGGACAGTGCAAGCATCCTTGTCCACGGATTAACGTTTGCCGGCATATCGAATGAATCAAATAACATCCGTCGTTGTAAACAAGCTCCGTTACAGCCGGGACATTTTTAACGCTTTTCTGAACATTCTCATGTTATGGCCGCAATAAACCCTAATCCGGCTATCCGTCGAAAACCTTCAGCATATCAAACAAGGCCTGCCTTGTAAAGCGAGGCGCACACAACCCAATAGACACCACCCACCTTCGCAATGAATGCACGGTTATACATGTGCTTCTTAATTTGAAGCTTTCGTGACTGCAGGAATCCGTACACTTCGGTTCTTTGGGTAAAGTCACGTAGGTAGAAAAATTAAACAAAATAAAAAATAATATATCACGACGTTTCGATCGCAACACAAGCGGTCGTCCTCGGGCGGAAAAAATAATCCAGCAGTTCCACTGCTTGGGTCTTATATAGGACAGTGCAAGCATATGTTGCGATCGAAACGTCATGATATATTATTTTTATTTAAAGCTTTCGTGACTGCAGTAATTCATATTCTTAGTTCTTTCGGTAAAGTCACGTTGAAGGGAAACAATAAAATAATAAAATATATAAAACAATACAAATTCTCGCGACGTTTCGACCATAACACAAACGGTTTTTGTTTGTGTTATGGTCGAAACGTCGTGAGAATTTTTTATTGTTTTATATATATTTTATTGTTTCCCTTCAACGTGACTTTACCGAAAGAACTAAGAATATGAATTTTTATTTTGTTTAATTTTTCCACCTACGTGATTTTACCGAAAGAACCAAAGAGTATACATGTGCTTATTTAACGAACGGCGTGCTGCGCGAAGGCGGTGTATTGAAAGGAACACTCCATCAAATGACGAATGGAGGCGTGGCGGCACACATCACGGAAGTGCGACTCTTCACGGCATGTATTTTTTTGTTTACGCCTTTACAACGCGGAGGACTTAGAGGCTCTGGTAGTACAGGCCGACAGGGTGGCGGGCAAGCGACGCAATGAACGCAGCCACTCACAGATTTCCCGATACGGGTCTTTAGGCATTGCAACGAGCGCAAGCACGTGCAAGTGACTGATAAATTTAATTGTTCGGCTGCTTTATCTTAAAGCGATTCCCTCGGATTCTTTCTTCTTCATATTATCAACCGCGCTCAGGCAGCAGCAAAATACAGCTGCCTTGTCTGGAAATCTATCGCCTAATAAAGTAGTTGGAAATTGGAATGAGTCATGTTCACAGGGACGGTGGAATCCACGGTAGCCTTAA